TTCCACTACCATATAGTTACCACAATAAGTTGTGCTAGTTGCTCGATAGTAGATTGAGCTATGTGAAACATTTGTAATATTCACTAAAAAATTCTTCCGTATTAAATTAATGTGGGAAAAATGCTGATGGAAAGGGTATGATCAATTCCACTAGTTCCTGATACCGAACCAGTATATATTCAAAAGATAACCGGGTTTTGGGATTACTAGATCTCCAGAAAGTATTTTGAGGCTTCTGTGATGTTCTAATTACCAACTACACTCTTCCAGCCTTGCGGAAGTTTCTACCCAAAATCCTATTTCTCAATGATGATGGTGCTCGGCACACTCAGAACAGTTTCGTTTTATTGGAAATGCATTACTCTATCCAAATAAATGGCTCTGGAATAATTTTCATGGAAAAAAATTTTCTGAAGGTTTACCTGGTTATCGAAACCTCTTAGAGCCGAGCCGACGCAAATCCTAGAAAAGTTTTACGCGAAATAGTGTGAAAATATAACATAAACGTTCCTGCTTGATCAGGTTTGATATCAAGATTCTATGTTTGGTTTTTTCCCCCAAGTTTGGGATCTTCGGTTGTGAATCGAAACTAGGAGATATTCGATAGTTGGCTCCGATTTCGGGATTAAAACCACATCCGTTGAGAACCGCTTCTGAGGTTGGAAGAGGAACTGTTAACTTACATCCCTAGTCGGGCTGTTGTATGTTTACTACGCGTTTCAAAATAGAAGGCACACTACCGTTTTCTCAATAACTTTTGATGGAAATGAGATACAGACCTGCGGATTTCAGCATATGATAGAGGACACTTGGGGCTATACTCCTATGAAAAAGTCCAGTCTTTCGAAAAGGTTTGCCACGGTGTACCTTTCAAAACAAAATGTCTGAGCCTGTCATTTCAAAAATCTATATAGCAAAGTATTGCTCTAAACACATGTGGATATACAACAGATGCCACTCTAAAACTGCCATAAGTACTAAGTCTCCATCTAAACTTCAAAAGATTAGCTTTCCGCTGTGATCGTACTAAAATCAAAACCTTATAGCACCATCATTTCTGTACCAAGTTGCATGAAACCTGAAGAGTGGGCGTAAGAGCAAGTGTTCTATCCGATCACTTTACCAGAACTATACAAAGCAAAGCGGATCTTCGACAGGTTTTTCAAAAGCTCTGAAAACGCATAAGTGGAGTCTCAGTATGCAAACATAATTCTAGCATTCCTAAACTGTTTAAAATCGCGCGAAAATGCTATGAGCGTTGCCTTGATCAGCTAGAAGATAAACATTCGTTTGATGCAGGCTGTTGTTATCAAGGTCTATTCACCGTAGCAATGTCTACTGGTGATTGTGAATTAGCTATTCAGTATGCACCGAGGTTATTGAAAACTAATCCGGCCATTTTAGCCGATGATACAATGAGATGCATAGCTTATAGGAACTTCGCCGGCGCTTATGAATTAAAAAAAGATTATTTGCGGTCATCAGAATACTACAGAAGAAGCGCTGAAGTACAAGGAAAAATTTATGGAAGCGATAGTGTAGAAGTTGCAACAACATATTATAATACAGGCAATAATTACCGAGATCAAGGACAATATAAAGAGGCTTTGAAATACTATATTCGTGCACTAGTAATTCAAGAAGAAAAACTGCCGGAAAATCATTTTGAGACTGCTAAAACGTTAGGAAACATTGCATACGTACATCAAAAGTGCAAAAGTTACAGAAAAGCGTTAGAGTTTTCCAAAAGAGAACTTGAGATGACAATAAAATCTCGGCCGGAAATGCATGAGCTTATTGGTATTTCTTATCAGCGCTTTAGCCTCAACTGCGAAGCAACTGGTCAACTTGAATTAGCATTAGAGAATTTCGTGAAAGCTCAGAATATACTTCGCCACTCGTTGCCAGAGACTCACGAACGACTGATTCAAATTCAGAAACATGTAGACTGGATTCGGCGGCAATTAAGCTAAAAAAAAACTTTCCTATAGCTATCTGCAGAAAGAAAAGGAGTATAGGATGTTATCTTTCATGTCGTTTATTCACCAGAATACTTAAAAAACCTGATTTGTGTCTAAAAACTAGCTACTATTTTAGCACAATTTTCTTGTTAATTACATCGTTGAAAAAGTTTTGTTAAAAAATTTCGGTTTTGTGACCAGATAAGGTTTTTCAAGCTATATCAACGTTTGACTTTAGTCTTTCGACAAAGAGGGCTATTAAAACCAAAAGCTAGTTTAAACCCTTCGAAGAATTCTCTTTCGACTCATATCCGAGAAATTCTCAAAATCGATTTCTACAGGTGTATTTTTATAACAAAGCGATTTTGATTTTTGTGCAGAATGGTTAATTTCCATTTGAATTTTGTGGGTATTAAGAAGTTGTTTAGTTTTAAAGTGATAGTTTAATGAAAACGGGCAAAGCCGGTCAATCTTTCGTTCTTCTCAGGGGGAAAAAAATTGCATTACAGCGTCACCAAAAACTACGGGATAACCGTGGTAGAATGCGTTTGTAAACTGAATTGATCTTCTCATCACTCGTTAGTAATATCTATATTCTGCTAATCTGTCTCGAGCAGTTTTTCTTCAATAAAACCCTCCCCAGGACGTTTAAAGTTTATGACCGGCACGCGAAAAGAAAAAGGGCCTTTCTCGTTACAGCGTCATGGCCATGCATTGTGAACCTGCCTGCTACACATTTATATCAAATTTTTTGAATTTGATAGGTTAAATAGAGACCTCAAGCTACGTCACATCACTGCAAAACGAAGTTTTTAACTTCTTTAGTGTTCGAGTTAGTTAAATTTTAGTTAGTCATAAACGTTGTACAGTTACGCCCGCATCTTCAGTTTTCTCATCTATGCCCTCTCAAAAATTCAACATATCAGCTTTTTCTTGCCTTCTGTTTTTATATTGAATGACTCGTCAAAAATGAAAATCACTTTCGTTGAGAGCGCCGTCGTATTAGGAAACGGGTACGAAAAGAGAAGATGACCTCCGCCTTTTTCTCCTCCCTAATAAAATATTCTGACCATCATTTCCGTCGTTACCGGTCCACTACAAAGATGAACGTCGAGGCTGACGACACTAAGGTCCTGCATATATAGATATATACACTGCTCCTGTTTTCTCTTGTTCCGTTCCAAAATTAATTTTAATCAAACACGATGAACGAAACAACTATCGACTTGCCCGACGAAGTTTGGCATCGTATCTTCCTCCTATCCCGACCCACTTTGAACGAACTCCTCTACAACTACTCCACTGTCTGCCGTCAATTTCGTGCACTAATCAAACACGAATGGTTCCTCCGCAACTACGTCAAATCCTACCTCCCAACTTACGACCAACTTCAAGTCTCTTGCATACCAAGCTGCACGTCAAGCCAGAAATTCCTCCACAAACCTTGTCTTAATAAACCTGGCACTTCATACAACGATACAAGCTTTACATCCTTTACAATCTCATTTTGGCGTAACTTCAGTAAAACAGATTTTCTACAGACACGAAAACATGAAATTACCTCAAAGATCGATGTCAAGCTAATAAATCGTGACTCCAACTGTCATTCTTACTTGCACCTCGACGGTATGGCCAAAGGACATATCTGGCAGTTCAACATCGCTGGAAGTCGAATAGTATGGAGAATTGAAGAAGAAGCAGGAGGAAGAATCAACGTAGGCGGATGGAATTATATTACAGCAGTGTATACAAATAAAAGAGTGCACTTCTACGTCAACGGAAGTTCCCTACGACGATGTCCCTCCTCACTTTTTCCAAGTCGGAAGACAGTTGATGTTGTTACTGCTGCTACATTTCAACGTGTGGTGGTATATCCGGTGGGCGATGCAAATGTATTTGAAGAGTTTGCCGTTTTCAAACGTGCACTGTCGCCTGTTGAAATAAAAGCGATTTATGATCGCAGGGCAACGTCGGCTACGATTGATTTGGCAAAAGTTATCAGAGAATTTTGGGAGTAGTTTTCTGTATTGTAAATTACTACTTCGTGAATAAAGAGTTTTTTTCAAGAATTTGTTTTGAATGCTACAGGAAAAAAAGTGGAGGCATGTTGGGAACTTGCTCAGGTGCTCATCATTATTGCAGTAAAGGGGACTTTTTAAGTTAGGCACTTTTACCCACAGATTCTCTAGGCGCCGTATGTAAATTAGGTTGACTTTCTTAAATTTCATCTTCTCCTAAGATCTTTCAGTAAGCACAAGAGTGCCTTAGGAAGGTATTCGCACACAGGTCTGCAATGAGTGCACATGTAAATTCGACAAAAAGTAAATAGAATTCTCAAAAGCCTTGGAATTGAGACTTTCATGCATTCTGCCTTCGAAAGGTTCGGAGAAAATATAACTTTTTGTAAAACTTAAAAAACCTGAATCAGGATGCCAAAACGAAAAAAAGACTCACACTAAATCTTCCCTTTGGACTTAGCAAGAAAGAAAGTTAAGCATCTCTTAAAAGCTCAAAACCATGTATACACACTATTTACCACACATTTTTTCCGTTCCGTTTCAAGGTTATCAAAAGATCTCTGTTGGAGTATGATCGGTCTTTGTGCTAAAGAACGTGAATTATGCCTGACCCGACGTGTATGCTCCTGTTTTGAAATGAGCAACCTAGGCCTTGCCTCTCAACCAGACGAGTATAGAAAAAAGAAATATGACTTCTTGTTCTTTTTCTTTTCATATTTTAAATAAAACTTGAAGTGCTCACAGTGTTGTTTTTTCAAAAAAAAAGAAATAAAATGAGACAGAGTCAAAAGTAAACAATTCACACTCGAAATTTTTTAAAAAAAGAGAAAAGTAAAGTGCACTCATCTAAGTTATTCAACTTAAATTTTCTTTCGATCTTGAAGAAAAAGTTCAACTCGTAAAGAAATAGGTAAACACATGGCAACTAACGTCAGTAACGTTACAACAGTTCACGGTAATCCTTTGTTATATCAATTTCCACTTAATGAAATTGTTTTAATGCCGTATTGGGTGTTAGTATTACAAATGGCAGTTAGACAAATTCTTCAGCGTTTGTGGAACAAGTACAAATACGACACATTCATGTTAACAATTGAACGAGCGGAACTGGACGTTCCCAAGTAAGTTTGTGAAAATCAGCCTAGGCCGTGAAAACCTTTTTCAGTGTAGACCTTGTTAGGTCCGAAAAGTGAAACTCCTCCCTATACACGACTCAAAGAACTTTCCCCACGAAAATGCAGTACTTCACATTTTCTGAAAGCTTTATATTACACCTTTTCAGTTCAAGTGTTTTATGAAAAATGCAATAGCGGGCCTAAGGCTATCAAGATCGTGGAACTTTGTTACCTAAAAGCTCGGATCTTAGGTCAATTCTCCAAGTGGCATACCTCGGCTTTTTTCTTCAAAAAATTCCATGTCCCCGAAAATCGTGGATCTTTGACATCAAAAACTCACGAAACTTTGCGCACACTAAAAATGTGATATCACGCCTTTTCTGACCTAAACTCCAAACTTACACTCCTCTCTTTCCACTTCGTATAAAATCGTTTATCACTGGATATGTTTCACAAAAGTATGAGCATTATTATTTTCTGTACATATCGGCAGTTCAGAACTTTCCTGAATAAGTTTCGAGTGCTAACGCAGCTTCAAACATTTCCTCGCAAGCAGAAAATATCGATTTTTGTTCACACTCGTATTTTTGATACTTCTAACAGGATGAAAACCGTTAAGACTACAAAGAAGAATGCCGTGGGTGATGCTAGCGTAGTGAGCAACGTTGCTGTGACAACCGATACTGGTACGAACAAAGATCCTAAGAAATTGTGGCTTGATGAGTTCGACGTGCTAAGTTCTCTCTTAGTTGTTGCGCAACTGGTTTGGTACTGTGTGCAACAAAATAAATGCTTGTCCTACCCAAATGCAAACTGGTGGAAATGCTACAATATTTTTGGTTATAAAATGTTTAATTACATCGCCCCTCAAAACTTCGTCTTATATTTAAATATGTACAATAAATTTGATGAACATGCAGACCTATTTGTGGTAGAATTTATTCTCATGGTTCTCGTTGTATGGGCTCCTGTTCCTTGGTTAATAACTAATGTTACTCCAATGGCAGCTATCTACTGTTGGATAATCATAATTTATTTCTTTGCATCGAGTATTGTCATGACAGTTATTCTTGTAGTACGTTATCAGGTTCCGAAACTCACTCGACGTTTTTTTATTTGGCTCTTCAGTCGCTGCTGCAACTTAGATGTTGAATTAGCTGGAACCTCTAATAGAAGAAATACTCATCCGCAAACGCCTGCAATTCCACCGATATCGAGTCCCAGCCTTCCCACGCCGCCGCCGCCACCTCTATCAGAGTCTCTAGAAACAAATAGTTTTGCTCAAGCGCTCAGCCTTCTCCAACAACTTAGTCTCGTACAACATCAGCTTAGCCTTGACCAACAGCTCAGTCTTTTACAAGCGCTCAGCCTATTGCAGCCTTTAAGCCCAGTTCAAAGACTTGATTCTGCACAACAGGCTAATCTTGCTCAAGCGCTTAGTATTCTGCAACAAATTAGCTGTGCTCAACAATCTGAAGTGGCCAGCGTAACCCAGCCGTCGACCGTCCCTTCACAGCCTGAACTAAGCTCTGAACACGAACAACCAACTAGTTCGGTCGTCAAAGCACCTCCAAAATTGAGTGACTGGTTGCCCGATATTTTAATTTTCGGTTTCTTCGTCAATTTCTTTCCTCTTCTTTTACCTTCACTATACAATTACTCTCAATATTATAGCTGGTATTTTGGCGAAAGTTATACTTATACGATTTACGCTGATTATCAGTCGCGTGACACACAACTGTATTTTCAAGTTGTGAAAAACGAAACTCAAACCATTGGACATTTTCTTCTACCTTTACTATAATGCTGAATAGATTTTCGGAAAAAATCCTCAGAACTTGGTTAGCTGTTTTGTATAAGTAGAGTTCAGGATTTTCCTTTGTTAGAGTAAAGAGTTCTATATTAAGAGGCATTTTCTGATATTCTCATGCAACCTTGCCCGTGAACTTTTCTTTTCCCATTACAAGTGGCTCTCAGATTGTTCCTCACGCGAGTAGATCATAATGTGAAATTTTCAGGTCGAAAGACCCTACCTCCACGGAGATATAGGTCTCGCAATTTTAGGCCATTTTAGCTATTTTTTCCAACTCATCAACTTAAAAGGGCTAGAACTCCGCCAATATTAACTCAAATCACTTCATTTTTTTACTAGTCGATAGGAAATTGAATTCTACACAAGAATCGGAGGACGAAATTTTTTTTGCATGTGATTCATGTCGACCAGGTCGGCGATGGGCCCGGGGAAAAGATCGATCTAGCGCTATCGGCGCCAACGCTTTGGTGGCAAGTGAAGACCACCAAAAAATTCCTCATCGTCCATTCTATTAGAAACAGTGCTGAGTAGAAAATCCTAACTTCGATCGGATGGAGCGCTAGCCCTAAAACCAATTTTTAGTCCGATTTTTGCGGTTTTTCGCGATTTTCTCAAAAACTATTCACTTTTTTCTGGACGTTATTACTAAATTCGGAATCAGCAAGAAATTCTGCGTTGAATGAGGTATCACACTTTATGTTTTGACGATTTTCAATTTTTCGAGTCCCAAAAGCCGGGAGTCGGAGTCCCGAGGAGGACTCGAAAAATTGAAAATCGTCAAAACATAAAGTGTGATTCCTCATTGAACGCAGAATATCTTGCTGAT